AATAAGTCAGCGAATTTGACTTGACATTTTGCCATCACAATAGTTAATATTATTGTATGAAAACAAAAAGATATTATATAGTAATCAAAGGATATTACATTTTAATCATAATTGAATATCAACATTACTGAGATACACTTGAACAATTTTCATGAAAAGCACAAGTCATGGGGTAAGGTGAAATTGAAAGTGATCAAGGGTTCAGATCCTTTCATATGTTTATCATCTTAACTCTTATTTTTGCATGATCCATCTCACACACACACACACACACACACACACACACACACACACATATATATATATATATATATATAGGGTATATTTCAAATGTAACCATGTTCATTTGTACAACCAATGCAACCCAATCAATTGAGATATTTATGGAAATGATGAGAGTTCATTTATTATAATTTGAATATTTATGGAAGATGACTAGAGTTCATTAATTATGATTAATATTTTATATTATGAAACAATCAGAACTTTTATGAAATCACATATTTATCAAATTAAATAGACGGTTGAGATTGATTTGTATTGGTTGTATAAATGTAAAAGGTTGCATAATAACTCACATCTATCTCTCTCTCTCTCTCTCTCTCTCTCTCTCTCTCTATATATATATATATATATATATATATGCTTAATCAAATGAGAACTGATTAGTTTGTGGTAACTGTAAGATCCAATCTCAACCACAAATCAACGGATAAATTAGAAAATTAATAATTATGGTAGTTTGAGTTAAAATTATAATTAAAGAACATTTTAGGTATTTTTAAAAAACTCCTCTCTCCTCTCTCATCTCTCCGACCTCCAATCTCCGGCCTCCGTTGAACAAAAATCCGGCAGGTACGAAGTAATCACAAAGATACACAATGTGATACCCATTGTGATATACAGTGGTACTCAAATATTATTAGATAAAATTTAGAAAATGGCAATAATTTTGCGGATATTAAACATAGTATCTCTTTTTCTTTGATTTTTGTCCTTTTTGAGTACAATCTAGAAGAAGAAGCCATCAAAGTAGAAACTAAAACAAAAATTAAATGTGGTATGAAACAAATAATATATATTATAAAATATGTTATTATTATAATATATATTTTTGACCAATTTTTTTTATTTTTTAATCGTCTTTAAAGCTATGAATATTTTTAAAGTTCCCCATCATTTATTGACCACCATTTTAAATTATTGATCATTTTTAATAAAATAAAATTATAATTAAAACATTAATCATGTTATATTAAACTAAAGCCCCTATAATGATATTATCACTCGTATATTTAAGTCTTATCAATTAAGCACTTAACACATTTATATCTGTACATTAGCTTTTTACTAAATTTATTGGAATAATCAAATAAATTAGTAAATGTTTAGATTTTAAATTAATTAAATTTAATTTAAAAAAAACCCATGATAATATTTTCTTCTAGCTTTAGTATTTGTTTAGTTTCCATATTTTTATTTTTTTTATAGGTTATGATCTACTTTTTAAATACAGTATACGTTACTAATTTCTTTCTTATATTTATTAGCATCAACCCTTTTTTTTATATTTTTAATGCATGATTTAACCTGAAGATCATGCATATAATGGCCCTGTAGATGTATACTTTTTTAAATAATAAGATTAGTAATATATTAAATGTTATTAGTAAAACAAAATAAAAAATAATACTCAAAACTAAAATATAAGATACTGAAAAGGTAAACAGAAACTTAAAATCGCGTTATAAAAATCGCACATTGGACCATGGCGTGCCATGAATTTAAGAGGACGTTAAATACAAATCATCAGCCACGACGTCGCCATGACGAACATTTTAAAGCATTAATTAATACGCATACGAGATGGCTGAGAAGCTTTTTACTCATATATAATACTTAGAAGTGGCAAAATTGACGAAAATAGTCAATTGAATTAAGAATGGCCAAGTTGACGTATCTAACATTTATATAATACCAAACAATTAATATATTAAACATAATTATAAATAATACCATGAAAATAATGAAATAACTGTTTAAAACATATTTATCTATAATACGAATAAACTGAAATAATTGTTTAAAACATATTTATCTTGTAGTTCTTGGTCTGTGAAGATGCATTGTTAGGTGCTCCATTTTATTTTCTCATTGAGACCTAACCTAAACCTATGCTCGAAAGATAGCTGTTCATACACTGATAAGAAATGTATGGATTTTCAACAGCCTTTTTGACTCGTTTACTTTTCAATCTAAATATATATTTTTATAATATAAAAAGTAAAAAGATAAACCAAATTTTAAAAATTATGAGTTCTAATCAACATTTGTAATCAAATCCATAAAAATATGTATTTCAATTACTTAGATGTATTATATTTGTACAAAAGTAGGAAACTAATGGACAGAAGTGTATTTAGGGTGTAAACAAGTCGAGCGGAGTAACCAAAGGGCCTTTAGCCTAGCGGTAGCGTAGCCCTTGGCCTTCTAGGAGGTCAGGGGTTCAAATCTCACCATAGGTGAGGAAGGTGTGTGAGTTTATTTGTTGCATTTGCGGTATATAAATATTATATACTTAAAAAAAATCGAGTGGAGTAGCAGGTTATCCGGGCTCGGCTCGGAAAACTAATATCAATCTCGAGCTCGATATAACTTTTTCAAAGTCGGGCTAGAGCTTGAGCTTGAATAGTTTTTCAATGTTTGAACTCGAGCTTGAGATCAATTAACTTGTTTATTTATTCTAACTGAAGACTTTTATATTTTAATCATATAATTTGTGAAATATAAATATCTTTAGCTTATAAAAGTGTATGCTCGAATGACTCGACTTGCCTCCACACGTAAAGTGTAATAGAGTTTTCAAACGAGTCGAGTCAAACATTGGTGTTATGGAGCTCGACTCGTTAAGTTAAACGAGTTTTATTTTGTGTTTGAGATCAACTCGAGCCCGAGAATTATTAGGTTCGAACTCGAGTAACTCATTAACAGATTGACTCGTTTACACCCTTATGTACATTAGCGGGGAAATATTGTATGAGTAGCAAAACTGAACCCTTGATCATTTTTAATCTTATGCCCACCCATGAATTGTGTGCTTTAGAAGAAAATTGATCTGGTGCATGTTGGTGCACTTCATTAGTATTTACATTTAATTAGGATTTATCATATTTTCTTACGCTTTTTATCATAACTAGGGGCGTGCAGAAAATCAACCGATCCAATTAGAACCGACTGACCATTATTGGATTGGATCAGATTGAAAATTTCAACATCCAATTTGGATCAGTTAGTTCTTTGATGCCAGTCTAGAACCAACCAAAAGCGAACCGATCAACATCCAATTACCCATCTAATTAATCATCCGATGACTATCCAGTTGTCCATCCGACCATTATCCAACTATCATCCAATTAATTTATTTTCAAATTGCTTAAATCAGAATATGTTTTATGTGGGGCTTTGAATTTTTAACTTCCCTTGTGTTGGTTTTAACACATAATAAAAGTGATCAATTAATTTGTATCATTGTCAGATAAATGGATTGAATTAACACACTGGATGGATCCAATCCCATCAGATCATCTCCAATGGATGAAACTGAACCGATCCAATCATGAACTAATCATCCATCAGATTTGATTGGATCGATTATCAAATGTTAATAGGATCGGATCAGTTGTCATAATCCAACATTCAATGGATAATTGGATCGATTCGGTTCCCCTCACACCCAATGAATGTCAACCGATGAACAAGACTACCATAACTTCCCTTCTTATCGAAATTCAGCGCTACATTTAATATATCTATACTATCTTATTAAGCAAATTTAGCAAAAGTCTTAAAGTCTTAAAATACTAAATGACCAAAATACCCTTTATATTCATTTTTTCACTTTTTCACCCCCTCCTCTCCTCACATACACTCACCTTCTCACAACCGATTTTTTTAAAATTATAATTTTAAATTTACACTTTATACCCCTATAATCAATTATTTAGTTAATTAATTTACTTTACGTCATTTACTTTTAAATGTTTCATTTTAAACCTTTATTAAATTAACATACATAATCGAATATCAATTAAAACATGTTTAAAAAATACATTTTTTATTTTAACAAGTTACACCATTATAATCGTCTCGTTAATACCTTCGAAATGAGTCCAATATTGAATAGTTTTTTACTTAATTATATTATTATATATTATATATACTGTGAAAAAATATTTTTAATATTTACGATTTATACTTTTATAGTTATTTATTTATACATATACTATATATTTTGGGGTTAGGCTGTCCAAATTGCACTGTATAATATGTTTTGAATTAATATGTTATTGGGTTTTTTTTGAAATATATATATACATGTATTAATTCAACCTTAATCTGAGTTTTTGGACAAGAAAGAGGGTAAACAGTTGAAATTTCATTCTAAAACCCATCTTTTTTTGTTTTTTCATGGCTTATGATCAGTCAAATTTATAGTTTTATTTATTGGTTTTGAGTGTTTATTTTAAAACTCAAGTTTCTTGGTTCTTTGCTCTTGGTGTAAATCGAATACATTTGTGGAGTCGTTTAAATATGTTGGATTTTAAATATATTGGATTTTAAACTGTCATACAATTTTTTTCATCGATATTCTGTAATTGGAACCATAACTCTTATTTATTCAAATTGTATTAATATGTAAAGACCAAGTGTAACATATATCATCGTTAAATCTTATCTTATAAAACCAATGTAACTTTAAAATCGTTAAAGTTTATGGCTCTCGCTGTATTACACGGATACCCAACTAGTAAAAAGATAAACCATAAAAGATAAAAGAAAGAAACTTGTGGAAAGGAGACACATGGCCATTTTAAAGAACATTCAAAAGGGTTCACGAAGAGTCAAACCATATGGAGGAAGAGAAATCGAATATTTGGGTACAATAACACCACTACCACCACCACATATGATTGCTTCATGTTTCTTTCTACTAATAAACCACCTTTTCTTCAAATTACTACACTAAATTTTACCTACTTTTTACAATTACCACCATTTTCGTTTTTCAATCCAATAATTCATCGTCAAAAACCCAAATCACCTCTCTCCTCTCTCTGATTCTTCCACTGTTCAATCATTCTCCCCAATGTCTTGTTGGTTCTACTCACTTGTTCTTCAAACGCCATAACTTTTTTATGCTGTTTCTTACAATTTCCGAGATGGATTGAGTGATCCCACTTATCAAGAACATCTGTTCTTTAAAACCCAGGTAAGGATTCATGTTTTAGTGATCTGTGAATCATCTTTTCTATCCAAGAACTCTGCTTCTTCTTTCAAGTTAGGTTAATTTTGACTTCTTTTGGTTGTCTTTGCCACTGGTTTGCATCGATTTCTAAGTTATGTTCAACAGATTCTTCAATTATAAAATGAAATTGGAGTGCAGTCTCTGTTCATTGACCTAAATAGCGTAAAACCCACCTAATATTTATGAGTAATTTGGTCGATGTGATGACTTTTTTTTGTGTGTCAAATGTCAAAAGCAACCATTTGCTTTTTGATATTTTTGTTTGTGATTAGAGAGGTATATTGATATGGGTATCGTTTAAAACTCATTGAATTGGGGTTTTGATCAGGACAAGAAGATTTTCCCGATCGTTGATTCAATCAGATGGATTCTCCGGTGGCCGGAAACAACCATCAAAGCTTAAGCAGAACTAGAACAATGGAGAAAAGAGATGATACATCGTTGCATATTGCAGTGAGGGCAGGAGATGTAGATACAGCTATGGAGATTCTAAGTGGCAAAGATGAACAAGAACTGAAGGAATTGTTGTCAAAAACGAATCAATCAGGGGAAACCCCTCTTTATGTTGCAGCTGAATACAGCTGTGTTGATTTGGTGAAAGAGATGATCAAGTATTACGACTCCGAGGCTGCCGGTATCAAGGCGAAGAACGGCTTCGATGCCTTCCATATCGCTGCCAAACAAGGAGATCTTGGTATGGATTCGAATTTGAGCTCTTATTTCTTGTTTTTTTTTGTGTGTTTAATAACCTCCATGTAGCTCCGTTAGCCTCAACCGCTGAATCAGCTCTGAAATGCCTCCTTACATGTGGTTTCTAGGAGGGCGTGTTTCGTATGAGGCTGGTTGGGGTTGCTAGTAATTAACATCGTTGCAACTGTCTATTGATCATTGAGGTTAAATTGATTAAATTTGAGCTATAAGTTAATAATATGCATAGGAGAAATGATTCAAGTCTAAGCAGATGTGAGTCTCTAACGCATCCCTCGAATGGAGGCTAGACGACCATAGATTGTCTCAAAGTGGGAGCTAGACGAGTGCAAGTTGCACCAGAGCGTCAAGTCCCTAGAGCGGTAGATATCGGCTTTGATACCATGTGAGAATACGTGGAATTCCATTAGATTTAACTACAAAAGAGCATTTAGTAGAGAAAGGTGTCAATATATATTTTGGTAGGAGGAGGTTCAACCCTTCATGGGAAAACCTCCAAAAAGTGAAAAACTGAAGAACCGTGGTAACCACTGATCTTGACGGTATGCATACCAAGAAACATCTTCAAGTAATTGAAGATGTTTCTTGGTTTGTATGCACATGTGCATACCGGACAAATTGCTTATAAATTACTTGTATGCACATGCACATACCGTCCAGATAAATGGTTACCCTTGGTTTTCATTTTTTACGATTTTCCCCATAACCTGACCCTATATATATATATATATATATATATATATATATATATATATAAAACTAATGCTTGAATATGTATCAAGATCAAGATCAAATTTTGAGTCCCATTTGAATTCCAAACAAAAAGGTTCAAGATGTATGCAGTTCTTGATTCAGCTGTTTCTTTTCAGAGGTTTTGAAGGTTCTTATGGAAGCCATATCGGAGCTTTCAATGACATTCGATCAAGCAAACACCACGGCATTGCACACTGCTTCTGAACAAGGCCATATCGAGGTGGTCAAGTTTCTCTTGGACAAAAATTGCACCATGGCCACTATCGCTAGAAGCAACCTTAAAACCGCGTTGCATTCTAGTGCACGAAAGGGTCACTTGGAGGTTGTAAAAGCGCTTCTGGAAAAAGTCCCGGAAATTGCCACTCGAGCCGATAAGAAGGGGCAAACGGCTCTTCATATGGCGGCTAAGGGACAGAACGTTGACATCATTAACGAACTTATTGCAGCTGATAACGGATTGATAAATATGGTCGATAAAAAGGAGAACACCGCATTGCATATAGCTACACGAAAGGGTCGAAAAGAGGTATTCAAGAAAGTTGACTTTTAAGGTCAAATTACTATCATCTAGATTCGAATTTTATTCGAATATTTTTACAAATTTGGATCCAAATTTTTGGAAATTTGTAGTGTATGCTATGAACTTGACTGAAGTTGTCTTAATTTTCTGAAAAAGTGAAAGAATTTATATGAATTTGGTTTTCAAAACTGGTCTTTTTGACCTTTAAACTCTTAAGAATTCATGAATATTGCTTGATTCCATGTTTCTTGATATGCAGATTGTTCTGGCACTGCTAAGTCACAAGGAAATAATCAACAAAGAAGCCATTAACAAATCTGGAGAAACAGCCCTCGATACTGCTGAGAAGTTTGGACAATCGGAAATCGCAACCAGCTTACGTGAACACAGTGTCGTGAATGCGAAATCCCTCAAAAAGACACCTCCATTGACCTCCACGGCTCGAGAACTCAAACAAACTGTAAGTGACATCAAACACGAAGTTCACGATCAGCTCGAACACACACTTAAAACTCATAAAAGGGTTAAAGGGATCGGAAAACGTATAAACAAGATGCACCACGAAAGCCTCAATAACGCAATCACTTCCACCACCGTTGTGGCGGTTTTGATAGCCACGGTCACCTTTGCGGCCATATATCAGTTGCCCGGCCAGTATGCCGATGACACAAAAACAAAACCGCCAAATACTAGTTTAGGGGAAGCGAACATAGCTCCGAACCCTGAGTTCATTGTTTTCCTTATCTTCGACTCTCTTGCCCTCTTCATATCGCTAGCGGTGGTGGTGGTTCAGACGTCGATCGTGGTGGTGGAGAGGCGGGCAAAGAAGCAAGTGATGGCGGTTATTAACAAGCTAATGTGGTTAGCCTGTGTTTTTGTTTCCGTAGCGTTTCTTGCACTTTCGTTTATAGTTGTCGGAAACGAGAAATGGTTGGCAATAGGAGTGACGGTTATTGGATCGGTGACGTTGGCGTCAACCCTCGGAACGATGTGTTATTGGGTGATTATGCATCGAATCGAGGCCAATAATTTGAGAAGTATTCGCCGGTCAGCGAGGAGTAGCAAGTCGCTCTCGGGGTCCGTTTCCGTACACTCGAGTTCGGAGAACGACGACTTCAAGAAACTTTACGCTATTTGATTCCGAATTTCGGATAACGGAATTTATTCCACCATTTCTGAAATGAGTGATTGACTTCCTGAATCATTCGTATTTGACTTCTCATCGCAAGCAAACCATCATTCTTGCAGTTTGCAAGAATGAACGATTTTGGACAAAATGTGTCAAATACAAAGGTCGACTTTGTATTATGGTTTCATACTTTGTCCAAAATCGTTGCTTTTTGCAAACAAAAGTGCTTATTTTCGTTCATCTTTTACACACGAATGACTGGTCAGTTTGGAACGAAAGTCAAGGTCGATGTTTCGAGAAACCGATCACTCTTTCGGCTATCTTTTTGCAACTTATTTCGATACTTATATCAAACCCGCTATCTGTTCATATGTATATATATTTGCAGGTGATATGTAATATAGCAAAGAGTTGCCATATATGTCTTTTTAGTTAAGACGTATTTTATCAGTTAGCTGTTTCACTTTAACTTTGCAGCCTTGCAGGCTGTATGCTAAATTTGGATGTACAAACCTACAATCGAGTTTTCATGTGTTAAAAATTAGGGGTGGACGCGGGTTGGATTGGGTTGGGCGGTTTACAACAATTTACAACCCAACCTAACTGTGGCGGTTTGGAAAATCTCAACCCAACCCAACTCATTCAAAAGTATAATCCAACCCAACCCTTGCGGGTTGAGGCGGGTTGGCGGGTTAGTAGTTACATAATTTGACGAATGAAATAATTCATAAAACTTAAGTTTATACACCATACTATAAAGCGTCCTATCTAAAAATGTTACAATAGGTTTATAGGACGTTTTTGGACGTTTCAACAAGTGTTTTAAAATAATCTTTAAATAAAATGTCGTATTAGTTATTTTATAGAAATATTTTGAGAAGTGTCCCGTAAACTCATCTATTTATAGGATACCTATGCTCATATGACACTTTTTCAAGTCGTGTTGTATAAAATAACTAATACGACATTTTATTTTAAAAGCATCATAGGATTTGTTAAAACTTCTAAAACCATTCTATAAACATATTGGAACTCTTTTAGATAAGACATTTTTATAATGTAACTCTTTAAAAGCGTCATAGATGATGGATTCGTCCATCAAATATCTATCAATATCATTTATATTTTCCAACATATCAATTTGTTGTTGTTGCAAATAAAATCAATAATTTTCCTTGTTAATTAGATTATTTGTCATCATTCTGTGATCGTGAATCTCTTTTGGTAACCTATACGTTTAGTTAAAATGAAACAAAATATAATATCAATAAAAATTATATAAAATTTATACATTATTAATATATATATATATATAGAGAGAGAGAGAGAGAGATGAGCAATCAAATGAAAACCACTCCAATTTGTAAAAACCGTAAAAACTACTCTCATCCGTCGTTAATCTTATGAAATTTTTTCATGAAATTGTTAATCTTCTGAAATTGTTTCATATAATACTTTTTTTGATGAAGTTGTTTCATATGTGGGTATGAAATTATTTCATATATTACTTAATGGAATTTTAATGAAACTGTTTCATGTATTTCTCTAAAATTAAAATAATGAAGATAATAATATCTATGATTAACACCCTCCACAATAAAAATGGTTAATCAACCTCTCATAATTACAAAAAAAATGAACAAAATAAAAAATTATGATTGGTTGAATGAGGTTTTCACGGTTTTTACAAATTGAGTGGTTTTTATTTGAACCAACCCCTATATATATAATAAACATATATATATATATATATATATATATATATATATAATTTTATAAAAATTATATATTAGCGGCGGGTTGACGGGTTGGACGGGTTGAGCCAATTTCAACCCTCCTAATTGGCGGGTTAGCGGTTTGGCGGATGGGCAGTTTGGCGGGTAGACGGGTTGGGTTTTATTGGGTTGTTAGCGGGTTGGGTTGGGCGGGTTTCGCAAATTGATGGTTTTTTGTACACCCCTAATAAAAATACAGTGGTGTTTTATATCTGAAATGTTTAGAACTTTTTTTCTTCACATAAAACAGTATTGAACGTTTCATATATGAAATAATACTGTATTTTTTTATACGTGTTGTCTTAATTTATAATACTGAAATAATACTATATTTTATGTCGTTAGTTATGAGTTTAATTTTTTTTTTAAATTAAAAAAATTGCAATTATTTTGGCAAAGGAATCTTGTGAGCACGTGCAATGTCTCTAATGGGTTGTGGTCTAAAAGTAAAAGGAGAGCCTTTTCTTTTTGTTTGCAGAAGGGAGGATTCGTGGGATTGTTGGTTCGGGTAAGTAATTAATATTTTAAATATAATTAAAATAACAATTAAATAAGTAAAATTCATGTAATTATCATATTTTCCACGTCAATTTTTAATTTATGTGAAATAAAAATATTCTTTATATATATATTTTTAATTATAGGACCCAAAATATACTTTATTTTTGCTAATTTATAGTTGAGGTGTTTTACCAAACGCTTACCAGGTAACTGTTTACCAATAAGAGTTACCAATTTTTATTTATTTTTTTGGGTAATATTCTCGATCATGAAAAATGGATTATGGTAAGCATATTTTACCTGACAAGTGTTTACTGGGTAAAAGTTGTTTCACTCATTAGATATGATTCTTAGTCCTTAGTATGTCTTTTACCAGATAAGATTCTTGATCTTTACGATACACGCCAATAATGTAACTGACGTCTGATAAATGATTACCCATAAAAGATTAGTAAACGACCATTTAGTATAATTTGGGGTTGACAAAAAAATGACTAGTTCATCGGCCACCTTGTTAGTTAACATATACATATTCAGCTAGCAACCCTTTGTTTGGATATATTTAGGCATATAAATTTAAATGATATGTTGATTAAATTTATTATTTTCTTATGAGTATTAAGCCATTTTTTCTTTAATAAGTTAGAAGGTCACGAATGCAATTATACCTAAATGACGCATCAACTTGCAAAACAAAAGTAACGATGTATTGGTGCTTGTCTTGAAACTGGATCATTACGTTGTTACACATAAAATCCACATTTCTTCAAAAGTAAATGACTGTCTTTGTTAGGATAGTCATTGAAAGATAACCCCATATTAGCCCCATCACTCTTCTTTGGTCTCTGCCTTTGATACGAGATTCAACGATAACATACACTCACACACAAGTTTAGTCGTTCGAAGCTGATTTGAATCTAATATTTTCAACCCCTTGCGAAGAAAACATCCTAATCATAGAGGATTACTCATTGTGATCAGGAATCCATATATAAATCCAATTTTGTATCTATCCTCCATGTATATGGGTGATGGGTCAATGTTATATATATAGAGAGAGGGGGGTGAGTTATTATACAACCTCTTACATTTGTACAATCAATACAACTCAATCTCAACCGTTTATTTAATTTGATGAATATGTAATTTATAGAAGTTTTGATTATTTCCTATTATAAAGTATTAATCATAATTAATGAACCGTATTCATATTTCATAAATATTTAAATCATAATAAATGAACTCKCATCATTTCCATAAATATTTTAATTTATTGGGTTGCATTGGTTGTACAAATGTAATAAGTTGTAGGGCAAAATGCACAAAATAGCTATCTACTTTTATAAATTTCTTTATTATAGCATTGTACTTTCAGTTTTTCTTATTACAACAATGTACTTTCAAACTATTTTTTATAAGAACATTGTATTTTGAAAAATTTACCCATTATAGTATTAGATAACCTTTTGATTTAAATTTACCCATTATACTAGGTTTTCATGCCACCTCATTGTCCACGTAGGTTGTCCACATGTACTATAGTGATGTAATTTCTTACTACATCATTGTACTTTCAAAATTATTTCATTATAGCATCTACTAGTTCTTATTAAACACTGTATTTTAATTTTAATATTTAGATATTTTACATGTTATTTAATAAATGTATTAAATGAATTAAAAAAATTCTAAATTATTCATTAATATACCAATATCAATAAAACTAGTAGAACACAACTTATCTCGCTAATATTTTTTTTAAAATATGTGTTTTTGAAAAAAAAATAAGAATTGTTTCTTTTTTACCAAAAAAATATTATCTTTTAAAGAATATATTATATTTATTCAAAAACTTTTTACTTGACGTATAAATATATTAAATTAATTAGATTTTTTTTGAATAATTTATTAATATAACAATATTAAAAAATTATAGATAACAATTTATTTCGTTAATATTTTTTTTAAAAGATATGTATTTATTTGAACAACATAAAATAGGAAAAGTTACCTTTTTTACAAATAAAATATATCTCGAAAATAATGTTTCATATTTATTTAATAAATATTTTACTCTAAGAATATTTAATTTGCATGCAACTTAATAAGAAAAGGTAAAAAAAATTAATTTTTTTTTTAGATCTTAACAATGAAAAATGAAAATCACTAATAAAAATTTAAAATATGTTTTTATTTTAATTTTAGTTAAGTCATCAAAATGATGTGTCATCCACATCACCTCATTAAAGCCATACAAACAAAAAAGTCAAAGGTTAACCGGTTTAAAAGGTAACAGGTTACCCATTGCTATTATGGGTAGATTTTTTAAAGTACAATGCCTTAATAAAAAATAATTTGAAAGTACAATGCCTTAATACAAAATAATTTGAAAGTACATTGCTGTAATAAAGAAAAACAAAAGTAAAATGCTATAATAAGAAAATTTATGAAAGTAGGTTGCTATTTTATGCATTTAACCCTAAGTTGTATTTGAAACAAACTCTCTCTCTCTCTCTCTCTCTCTCTATATATATATATATATATACATATATATACATATATATATATAGGCTCAGATTCAAAGAAAAACCCAAAAATAAAAACTAAGGAATACTTTAATAACCAACGATTTATTTTAATCTAATGATTATTTTAAAAAAATAGCAATTTTAATATTTTATTAAATGGAAAAGGGCAAAATGATACATTTCACTAATGGATAAATGATTTCTATTTATTAAAGTCCCTTAAATAAAGGATATTCACCATGATTTATAGAAACTCTATTTATCCTCTAAAAATCTACAAAAGAATACTAAAAAAACCTACAAAAGAAGATACTCAACCATCTACAAACAAAAATTCTAACTGATATTTCATTCAGGTTTTATAGCATATGCACAAACCATCGTATTCATCGTCTTTCGATTTATGCGTTGCATGCACATGTGAATGAATCATTGTATTTATCGTCTTTCAATCTCTGACATGCATGCACATGTGAATGAGCAACCATATTTTTTGTCTTTTAATTTATAGTCTGTTATGCACGTGTGAATGAGTCGTTGTATACATCATTCTTCACTTGTAAGCACAACACATACCGTCTAGATGAATGATTGCCAGAGTGTTCCTTAAATTTTGTTTTTAGGGTTTTTCCCCTAAACCTCCCCCTCTCTCTCTCTCTACACACACACACAGAGGGTTTAGTTCCAGTGAGAATGAAAATTATAGTGAGAAGGATAAGAATGAATCTCCACCTTTAAACCAATCTTAATTGAAGATCAATACTAACGCGTTGCACCAAGATACACTGGATCAATTCATGTAATAAGCGCCATTCATGGGTGAGTGTGAAATTAAAAGTGATTAAGGGTCCAAATACATTCTAACGTTTCTCCCCTTAACTTCTATTCTCACACGATTCTTCGTCTATATATATACACACCCAAAATCATATAAAAACCTTCTATATCTTGGAAACTCTAAACCAATATTGATCACATAGTCTTAGTTTTCATAATTATCTTATTAATTACCTTATCAATCTTTTTCTTAAAAAATCACTTTTTATTTTAATTTTAAAAGAACAATGGTTTTATTTCACTAATAAAACAACACTTGATGTTGGGTCAAATAAACCTCTTCTCATAAGCACATTTGACGATGTGACTCATTGGACCGTACATGCTCTTATGGGTTACATGTCCATTACGAACTTATATTCATATCCGTTAATTGTATGATATTTTAACATCTATTTCATGCATTTACACAAATAAAATAACGACATAAAACATATATTATATCCAAACAAAAAGAAAAACGATTTTGCAAAGTCAAAGAGACGACCATGTCCTATCTACTTAAATAAACTAAACCCGTTTTCATATAACCAAAATAATTACATGTGTTTAATTTCTAAACAGTTTATATCTATAATTTGAAATAAACCTATACACAAATATATAAATGATTTTATAAAACACTAGAAGGGTACTCGCGCAATACAACAAGATAAATCTTGATTTTAATGTTTAATTTTTATTATTTGTCTTTATCGATATAATACGATTTTATGTGGTTTTGATTTTCGAGAAAAGGGTAATGTTTTTATTTTTGAACTAAAATATCAATTTGAAGATAAATAAAAATTTGTAAAAAAAATAAATCGATAATAATATTTAATTAACTATTTAATAGTTCTCGTTTTTTTGATGTAACTTTTCTAATTTAATTTTAGATTTAATAACAAAGTAATTTATTTTTGTTTTAATAATATTTTTTTATAAAGACAATAATTAAATATTTTGTTAGAACTCAATGATTATCTTAATTGTATTTTAGATTTCTATCTTTAAAATTGATGTTTATCCTATATTTGATTATGTTTATCAGCGGTTAGTTACACAAATTTAAAAATGGAGCTTTAATAAGTGTACCTATGCAAAATTACTTGTAATCTTAAATTTTAAGTAATATATATCAATAAACAATACTTTATACATAAACAATGAGTTTTAAAAGTTTTTGTCAAATGCTTTATAATATAATTTAGATAATAATAGTGTTATAATTTTAAAGCTATACAAACGGACCAAATTTGTTGTTTACTCTAAATTTAATTTCCTTAATTTCGATATCGAAGGAAAAAAAAAGTATTAATAAAAAAGGGAAAAAGAAGGTGATATGAAAACCGCAACTAACTACCAACCGGTATGGATCCGGTTCAACACATTGATGACGAGATCACGTCCACGGTGGCAAACATTTGGATCCAACGGCTGAGATTTAACATCAGCTTGAGTATATTGTAATAAACGGCTCACATGCCATCTCATTCCCATCTGTATTTTAGCCTTAAGCAGTCGCTTCTCACAACATAATATTTCGTTTTCCTCTCTCCTTATTTGGACCACCGCCTCTCTCCGCCGTCATCCGCCACCGGTGAATCCAAAATGAGGATTTTAGGAAAAATTCTCCCTGCTGTTCTTCTCTTCTTCTTCCTATTCACTGCACCATCCATGGGGGAGATCAAATCTCTGAAGATCCGATCCGATAACCGTCCTATGATTCTCTTCGAGAAGTTCGGATTCACACATACGGGTTTCGTCTCCATTGCGATCTCCTCTGTGTCGGTCACCTCGACCTTATCGCAACCTGATCCCTCACGTCTTGGTTTCTTCCTTCTCTCGGAAGAATCGCAAATCCAAGTTCTCCTTGAACTCCAACAAAACCCTAATTTCTGTGTCGTCGATTCGAAATTCATCGCACGTCTCTTCACTTTCCGAGATCTCTCGCCTCCGCCTCAGTCTTCCTTCAACAGAACGTACCCTGTGACCCACCCGAATGAGTACTCGCTCTTCTTCGCCAATTGCAACCCTCAATCACTCGTCACAATGGACGTCCACACAGAGCTGTACAACACTGATGACGGCAGCACCAAGGACTATTTATCAGCAGGGCTAACGCAGCTCCCGTCTCTTTACTTCATTTTTTCCCTCATTTATCTAAGTTTTCTAGGGTTTTGGATCTCCATATGCTTTAAAAACCAGCGATCTGTTCACAGGATCCATTTACTAATGGGTGGGTTGCTTGTTATGAAGGCTCTTAACTTGATCTGTGCCGCGGAGGACAAACATTATGTGAAGGTAACAGGTACTCCTCATGGATGGGATGTTCTGTTTTACATATTTCAGTTTATCAGGGTTGTGCTTTTGTTCACTGTGATCGTGTTGATCGGTACCGGGTGGTCGTTTTTGAAACCATTTTTGCAAGAAAAGGAAAAGAAGGTCTTGATGATTGTGATCCCACTTCAGGTTTTGGCTAATGTAGCTTCCATAGTGATAGGGGAAACCGGCCCTTTTATTAGAGATTGGGTGACTTGGAATCAAGTGTTTTTGCTGGTAGATATCATCTGTTGCTGTGCCATTATCTTCCCCATTGTCTGGTCGATTAGGTCGTTGAGAGAAACTTCAAAGACTGATGGGAAGGCTGCTAGGAATTTGGCAAAATTGACTCTTTTTAGGCAGTTCTATATAGTGGTTATTGGGTACTTGTACTTTACGAGGATTGTTGTTTTTGCACTGAAGACCATTGCAGCTTATAAGTACCAGTGGGTGGCTAATGCAGCAGAGGAAATAGCCAGTCTTGTGTTTTATATGGTGATGTATTACATGTTCAGGCCAGTTGAGAAAAATGAGTACTTTGTTCTTGACGATGAGGATGAAGAGGCAGCCGAGATGGCTCTGCGGGATGAGGAGTTTGAGCTTTGAACTTCCATATCAAGGATCCTATCATGTTTTGTCATTCATACTACTGTCTAGGTGATACACTGTGAGTTGTCAACTTAAACTTCAAGTAGTTTTTCTGGAACAATTTGATGCTACTTTCATTTTATTTTATGTCATAACAACTATGAAATTAATGATAGCGTGTGTTCAAAATTTTGTATTTTCATATTCTCATTTGTTGCAAATACTTCTTAGGTTTGCTGGATGCATTGTTCAATTCTTGGAACTTTTCAGGATTCAGAGTAATCTAAATCCAGTGCTTTGATTTGTGAACTGCATTTCATTGGTGATTGGTGTTGCATATACTTCTTTATTCCATGTTGTTGCCTATGTGATCTTTAGCAAGAATAGCTTTTTCTGATTTTGTTGGCTTGACATAATTATAACTGTTTGATTCATATAAGATTATTGTCACCTTCTTGAATGCAAGATAAGAAGTACAATAGTGATTTGAACATGTTTTTTGTTTTTGTCATGTGTGCTTGTTGATTTAGCTTTGATGGTCACACACACACACACACACACACACACATATATATATATATATATATCATTCTGTGCTTCTTGCATTTGGTTGCTCATGCTGTAATGCCTCTATACTGTTAGAAGCATTATGCTTGCATATCTTCAATCGGGTAATTCATGATGGTGACTATCATCTTTGGAGGCAAAAGATCCAGAGTACTTTAGTTGTAAGGTCAAAGGTGTAACTAGTATTGTGACAAATTAGTGATATAATCCTAGGCAAGATTTTGAATAGTGAGGCTAGTTGTAAGTATACTCAGCCAATGATGCATGTTCTTCATTGTAGCTGCGAGTAAAGATAGCTTGACATAAATACAATAAGCATTTGGGAATAAATGTGAAGATTTATGCAAAAAGAGGTCCACAAGGTTGAAGTTTGAGTTTTAGGTATTTTTATAGCATTTAAGTGGTATATTGATAAGGTTCCATCAGACATTGGTTGTTTTGTGATCATGAGCTAGCCTTGGTTGATTTGAGAAGCTTGACCCCCATCAACTATCCTTGACCTTGTTTTAAATGAAAAAGTTCCCATGGAGTTAGAAGGCTAAGAAAGAGATGACTGGAATGCTAAGGATGTCGTAATTGGGGATGTGGAACAGCTAGCTAATAGAAAAGCTTGGTGAGTCTGTGCCTATTGTGAGCCCAAGCTGAGCCAGCTCATGTGACTATCCGAGCCAAGCTTGAGAAACCCATTGAGCCTATACAAGCTACAGCGTAATTCATATTCTTACTCGACTAGTCTTGGCCTCTTGGAAATATCAGTTTGTGTATCAACACTCAAACTTATATGAGCCCCTAGAAGCAGACCCAAGCTTGTGCTGAGCTACGTTTGACTCGAATACACCTGTAATCTGAATAGCTGATATTGATTAACGCACTTGCATTTGCAACACTGTCAGACAAGCATTGGTCCAGTATCCCCCTTTCTTCATTTGATCTCAAGTGGACATCTATGACCATTTTCCCTTATGTTCTTGCCTTCTGGACTTGAGAGAGTAGTTGACTGATACTACAACTAGCTTTCTGGTAGTCTACCTGCGGTTTTGTTGTGCTAATAACTACCATGAAATCAATGATAACTTCCTATAAGAAACTTGTGCATTATCATGGATGTTCCCACTTCTGAATGTAGTAATTTGGCATCCTTTTCAGTTCTTGCATGGTTTCAGTTTCGCACAGCAATTTGATTGGTGACTTGAGTATCCCCAGTGATGGTGTTTTATCTTCCTGCTATTGTTTGTCCTTGTGGATTCTGATTCTAGAGATGGGAATTTATTTGCATAAAAAATATTGCATCAGAAGGCAGGTGTACAAGGATGATCACTTTTTGAGGCAGAAGATCCCTAGCTCTTTAGTCGTAGCTAGTATTGCGACAAGGTAGCAATAGAATCCAGGTAAGATTTAGAATGGTGCCAATGACGCTGCTGTTTACCAAACGCTTACTGATCAGACTCACCACTCTCATTTTTACCTTATGGGGTAACATTCCCAACCATCAACATGGATTGATGGTTATCGGGTAAGACTCTCGATTCTTGCCTTTATGGCAGGTAAGATTCTCGGTTCTTGTTTTGTTCACCCGGTAAGGTAATTGTACCAGTAAGCGCTTACCAAGGCGAGTGTTTAGTAAATGGCCTTAGTCTCCATCCCATAAATACCATAAACATTTGTGAGTAAATATATCATTTGTGCGAACCGTAGAAAGTCTGTTCGTTTGATTGAGTTTTAGGTTTTATTCTTGAAATTTAAGTTTTAGTTTGATAGTGTTAATAGGTTCTATAGGATGTTTTTTTTGGAGTCTTGGGCTAACTGGATCTTGTTCTTATGTTGAATAGTCTGAAGCAGACTTCACTCAGTCTGAGGTGCATGACATCCCGTGCTAACGCTCACACGATTATTGCAAAAGAAAAAGAAGTTGTGAGTCCGATTCTTAGTTCTGGTGAAATTTTAATTTTTAATCTTTCAAAATTCGGCTCAAGAGGCCGGTTTAGGGCACAAAAGCCCTCATGCTTCACTTAACAATAAAGATCGAATTCACAACTTGGAGTATAATTATAGAAACAATTGCCACTAATAAGATTTTTTGTTATTTTTTCTCCTGTTTTGCTTTTTATTTGTTATTTTTTCATGATTATTTTCCATCTTCTGTCAATTCACTACTTTTTATCTTGTGTTCAAGGCAACTTGTATCTATTTTAAAAGTCAAGGTCGATTCTGTTTGGAAAAAATGTGTTTTTGTTCCAAAATCGACCCAATGGAACCGTGCTAATTTTTTCATGAGTCAAACCGTGACTTTGTTGACCTTTGATCCACCGGTGGACAAACCCAAACCCAAACCCAAACCCAAACCCGTTCAGATAAATTTCTGGATATGCTGCTAGTTTTAAGTGGCAAAAAAGGAAATGTATCTAAATGATATTGCATTTGAAGAGAGTTGCAAAGGAAGCTGAAACGAAATTCAAATCCCTTTGAGCTTTTGAATCAAACGGTCATTATCATGGTTCTAAATAACTTGTTATGGTGTCAAGATTTGTGGCTTTGGCTTCCATTGTCACGTGTTATGATGCGTTACAACGCATTATTTTGTAGACATGTTTTTTTTTTTACTTTCTAAATAACTTGGGGTAAATGATAATTATATACGACATTTGAGACTTAATTAACCATTAAAAGAAACATCAAAACCAAAAATCCTAAGTAAATCTTTACTTCTATTTCCGTACATGGAGAGTCGAATAATAATACTTCCAAGAAAGTAGCGAGTAGAGACTCAAAATATTTAGTCACGGTTTTACACTCTTGATATCATTTAAAACCTTGGTCATTATGGTCTTCGAAGCAAGCCAAAGCCTTATCTGTATAAAACATATATAGCACAAAGTGAAAATAGCCAAACGCCGCTAAACTTGCTACGTTTTTGAATCAAACATTTTGAGTGAGTTCGTTACCACAGTTGGACAATAGAGTCGACGATTAAAGTACAAATAGATCAATTTTGATGGGAGTGAATTCATCCGCCACCATGAAGTGTCACATCAAACGTGCGAAAAACACCAGTTTTGTTGTTCAAGTGTAAATTTAATATTTTCGGCTTGCAAATGTCACATATTAAAGAATGAGGCAAATCCATGTGGAAAATGAACTCTCCAACAAACAATTATATCGTTTGTATGTCTTAACCAGTACTTTGGCAAAGCTTGGATTCAAACCTAAGAAAGATGAAATTTCCATTATCACCCTGAGCCTTAACCATCGCCCCACAACCCAAGTGGCTACCATTTATGAACTTAGGGGCCATTTACCAATCGCTTACAAGGTAAGTATTTATGAGGCGTTGATTACGCTACTGGTAAGAGGTATAGCAAGGACCAAGGATCTTCTTCGATAAGTGCTTACCGAGTAAGAGGCTTACAAACAATCTATTTTAATGGCTGATAATGTTACCCGATAAGGTCATACTAATGAAAAGTTTGATTGGATACCTTGTCTACCGATCCTTGAAAGGGGATGATGGGGCAAGAAAACCTATCAACAGAATTAATAGGTGACCGCTCTATGAATCCTTTTCACTCCCTGTTCCAAGTTGTTAGATGTTCGTTTATTACATATTTACCAACTGCCAACCGGGTTGTAGTCCATATATTTATTTACCAACAAGATTATCCATGTAGTAGAGCTCGAACTTGTGACTTTCTTCTTTCAACGACTTCACTTCAGCTACCCATTTGTGATAACAAGCTATTATCGAAAAATTCCATATATGTAGAACCGAGAAATACATACACACACACATTTAGAGAGAGAGAGAGAGAGAGAGAGAATTTTTTTAATTGAAAACCGATTTTCAGCTGTGAACCAGAGGATAAAGGTAGCACTACGTGTCCTTGGCGTCCATATTTAGTATGGATAACGAAGCGCATTTAGTATGAATAACGAAGGTGAAGTTCATCAACTGTTCATGATGAATAATACAACGATCATGATCTATGTTAAATTATTGATTCACTGTTTATGATGAATAATACACATTATTTTTGATGAATAATACACATTATTCTTGATGAATAACATGTGGACATAAAGGACACATGTCACACTATCTTTTATCCTCCGATTCACTATCGGAAACTTGGTTTTCATTTGAATTCGCTCGACACTAATAAAATTCAACATGAAGTACCATAGAATCAATGGCCTGGTGGTATCCAACTTCTTTACAGGCGAAGGGTCGGGTGCGACTTGCGAGGGCCTATGCTGTGTCACTAAACAACCCACCTAAGACTTGACGCAAGATAAAGAAATGGCAAAATGAGATTGAATATCAGGTCAAAATGGGTAATAAGTCAAATGAGTAGTTTTTCTACTATGGTTCATAAACAAAGATCTTCTGCGAGTTCGGAAGTCTTCCGTTTCTAGATGGCCGCTGTAATACTACGGAGGATCTAAATGATTAACATTAAATTATAAAAGCTGATGTAAAATTTGGTGCAAACAATAAATCTACTTCATGGATAACACCAAATCTTACACCAAAATATAAGATTTTATGTATATTCTAATTTATCTTTTTCCATTGGTGTAAATGAATAGTACTACACCTAATTTAATTTATGATTTCGTGTAATTTTGAAAAATTAAAAAAAAATTAATAATAATAATAATAATAAATGAAAACAAAAGTAGATTTGAAATTTCAAAATAAACAGTGTTCTAGAAATTGGTCAAGAATTATCATCTTCATTCAAAGT